ATCACAAAAACACCCCGCTTCGTGATGTTGGTGCACCCTCTGATTGGGCGTACTTCGCTTCGAATGCTTTAGGCTAGCCGCAGGTGGTCAGATATCGTCTTCGTTCTTCAGCCTTCAGCCTTCCCTCTTCATACCTCTCACCACGCATCAGATGCTGATTTGCTCGGCTTCCAAAGACACTCGGCGTATAATTGAACGAACGGTGCCGCTGCATCAACGCATGACATCAACGTGCTGGAGGTTTGAAGGGGCTGCCTTTGGACGAGATGGAAGACTCGACGGCAGACATGTGTTCTCGCTGTGCCAGCATCCCTTGGGATGAGTTGGAGCATATTAGGTTTGAATTATTCTGGCGCGATGAGAAGCCAACTTTAGGAGATCTCCAGAGCTCGTCCTGCCGACTATGTCGTCTCATCGCATACACTATCCAGGCACAACCCTCACAAGACGCTCGGCCCCAATTCGTATGTATCACATATCGTAACCGTGATTCCGGATTTGGAGATAATTGCCTGGGATCGTTGGAACTGTGGACAGAACCAGGAGGTCCCGTTGGAAAGCTGATTCTCACGACCGAGGCGTCTGTCGGACAAGAGGCGGCGGCCCGTCTCCCAGTAGTCCCAAAGCGCGTCAGCTTTGCTTCAATGAGGCCATACCTTGAAGCATGTAAAGCGTCACACCAGTCTTGCGAGCCGGAAACATCGCCCCAGCTTCTGAATTTACGAGTCATCGATTGTATTGACGACACCGTCGTCGTGGCACCGATAGGCTGCTCGTTCGTCGCACTTTCGTACGTATGGGGTGGACCATCTGCAAATAGCTACGTCCTAGGATCCCAGATCGCGTTTCCGCCGACGATAGAGGACGCAGTAAGTTCCACCCGGGAACTTGGGTACCGGTATCTATGGGTTGACAGATATGTGAGACAACACGCATACTTCATCAATCTGAACTGACGGATCAGTGCATCGATCAAAAGGATACCGACGATAAAAAGGAGCAGATCAATCAGATGGGCCGGATCTATGCCAGTGCGCAAGTGACCATTGCTGCTGCTGCTGGCGTGGACCCCACCCATGGCCTTGTAGGCATCAGCAGAGATCGCTCAACGCTATTGGCTCGAGAGCCAGTCGGAAGCTCCCGATATCTATGTCAAATTCCTCAGTCAGCTCAACATTATATCATACGCTCTCCTTGGTTCTCGAGGGCCTGGACATTCCAAGAAGGATATCTCTCGAAGAGAATTTTATGCTTTACAGAGGGTGAAGCAGTTTTCACTTGCAAGTCCCATGACTTGATTATGGAAAGTGGCCAAAACTCCCGGGTGCACGGTGATTGGTACGGAACGGTCAATGGAACAATTATCAGAACAGCACTGAGCACCCAAGGCAATTGTCTTTCTCATGCGAGTAAAATCATGGAGACATATTCGGCAAGGGTACGAGGGCACGATTCTGATGCGCTGAATGCCATTTTCGGTATCTTAAACGTTCTTCGGCATGGTAATCCACCGGTCTATCATAACTGGGGGGTTCCTTTTACGATTACCCGGCGACCGGACGTTGCTCACAGCACCGATAGTACCGTATCCATTTCTCTGGATTGGCAACATCTCGACAACGCCCGTCGTCTTCCTGAGTTCCCGAGCTGGTCAACCCTAGGATGGATAGGGGAAATCTACCACCATCGCGAATCACAAGTTACATCCCACTTCATGATTAAGTACTGGTCGGGCGACCGATATCGAGAGCTGGACGAAGGCACCTGCGATCTAGACTATACATACCGTCTAGATGGCACTCATCAATCTCAATATCTAGAGATCATGACGGATGTTGTACAAGTTGAGCTACAGTTCCGGAGCCGCACGTATTTCCTCAAACCTACTTTCCTCAGACGGAAGAGAGATGAGGATCAGGAGGCAAACTGGACGAACGAAAACATGACATGTCCGTTCTTTCGGGTGGTACTGGACGATGAGAAAAATTTTGATGCCACATTACCCGTCTTGTGCTCTACAACGACTCCCCTTGATTTCGTCTCCGGTTCTTGGGGTTCCTTCCAGGACAGACACCGAATATTTCTCTTCTTTCAAAAAGGAGTAAAGTCCTACGAGCGGATTGGTGTCTGTGACCCTGATGTGTATACTATCGGCAGTGATGGACATATGATAAAGGACGACAAAAACATGTGGGAATTTGTCCCACCCGGAGAGCCAGGTGCCTGGGATCAAGTCGCTGAGAGACGTACCTTTCTTCTTGGCTAGACAGTTTCGCACACATTCTTGCGCTTCAGAATATACTTCTTACCGTAGTATAATCTTCTCGCGAACTTGATGCTTCTTCGATCATTGACGCACTTGTGACCGTGGTGGCTATGCATCATCATCAGTGTTGCTCAGCCTCGTCCGGATTGGGTAAAGCGGCAAATGGCCTGGGGCGTCATTTCCCGGCGTGAGCTGCTGCTGCCTGCAAGCCTTCCCCACCAATTTTCATCTCGGTATATCCTGCTTCGCTTGCACTTCACATTGTTTTTGGATTTGCTATCCTTCACGATCTTTTTGTTGCAGCGTGCATGATCCAGCCCTCCGCTGATGCATGCACCGCATTGCTTTGAGCGTATCGCTGTTTTGATGTTGCGCAGCGCGTACAAACCCACGTCCCCACTTCAACATCGACCACAGGCTCGCCATGGCAAGTGAGAAGAGACACCCATCGATCGACAATGGGACTCATACATGCGAGCGTTGTGCGCCTATCAACTTCACCAACCTTGACAAAACTGCATTCGAACGTCTTGAGACGCTCATCTACATCGATGATCTGTCACAACCCTTGACAGATCGACACTGCCATATTTGTCAGATCCTGCAAGACACCATAGATGTGCACCGCTTGCAGTATACATCTGTTCGCGTGAGTTGGAGACGCCGCCGGGATGATGGAGATCCCATGGGAACACTCGAATTCCAGTACTCAAAGGGAGACACCCGCAAAACCTTGAAGCCCGATCTGACAGTATATGACGATATGGCTCGTCCGGGGCGTGCCAAAACACAGAATTCACCCAGGCGTGTCGATTTCGAACAAGTCAAGACATGGGTCCATGCGTGCAAACTGTCGCATTCTCTTTGCACTACCAACTTTTCGGAAGGGCTCGAGAGCCTTCGTGTTATCGATTGTGTTACTATGAACGTAATTCCTGCCCCAAAAGACTGCGTTTACGTTGCTCTCTCATATGTTTGGGGTGATTCCGCAACATGCAACATCTCAAGGTCTTCTGCACTACTAGAACAGATGCCACTTACTATTAAAAACAGCCTTGATGCCACTCTGATGCTCGGATATCGATATCTGTGGGTCGACAAATACGTATGTTGGAAGACTGCTGTCTTGGGCAGATCGCGGCTGATGTAGTACCTAGTGCATCGACCAAGGGAACGCTGCAGATAAGCATGATCAGATAAATCAGATGGGCGACATATACTCTTCGGCAGCGGTCACACTTGTCGCGGCTGCCGGCGCAAACTCATCGTATGGCCTACCTGGTGTTGAACGCGATCGCGAGCACCCTCGACATGATGTCACACTCGGGCGTCTACGATTCGTCACTACCTACAAATGGAACATCGATGAAATATATCATTCGGCTTGGTGCTCACGTGCTTGGACGTTTCAGGAAGGCTATATGTCAAAACGCAGGCTATACTTCACGGACACAAGGCTCTTCTACATCTGTAGTCAAGAGGTGTACTGTGATGCCGAGACGGGTTCCAAAGTCGCATGGTATGACACTCTGAGCCACCTTTCTCCCTCTCTTCCCAACAATGGCTTGGAGGTGGACCTTAAAAGTAATATTCTCACGGAATATACGCGCCGCAAGTTGACATTCAACTCAGACGCACTGAACGGCATAGTGGGCGTCTTAAACACGTTTAGCAAAGCTGGAACACCTATCTTCCACACATGGGGAGTCACCTTTGGCGGACTACCCATGGGTATTGCGCCATATCATTTGCTTATTACGTTGACCTGGTTTCACGACGTGCCATGTCTTCGGCGGGAGGCCTTTCCTAGCTGGTCCCCTTTGGGTTGGGAAGGGGTCGCCAAGTATGGCTACAGCCCGCCGCCCATGATCTCGCGGTCGTTCCAAGTCGAAGTGTGGGACAAAAGCAAGTTCATCCAACTTTCCAAAGTAGAAGAGAATCTACACCAGCGAGTCGGCGCCGAAATTCTGGAGAAGTCGCGTTACCTCAAGATCACGGCAAAGCTCAGTTGGCTCGAACTCCGTTATTTCTCGGCGAACGAATTGCTTTCAATCGACATGTCAAGTGTCGCAGTCGATGAGCTGCCCTGGCTCATTAAACCTCGGGCAGGTTTTCATGTGCGAGTTCCGACTGGTGACAATGTCGAGGTATATGCAAGTATGCTGCCATGCTGGGATTCTGAGCCAGTCCATTCCCTTGACTCGATTCGAGTCCCCTGTGCGTTGATCCCGGCAGGTGATGGATCATTATCAATGGCTGTAATGATGCTCCGAAATCACGACACTCATTATGAACGAATTGGTTATTTCAATTTCCTACAGACGTATGCGGGCAGGTTTAACTTCTTGTTCAAGGACGATAATGGAGCTCTGACAGTGGAGAAATTACTGGGAGATCTCCACTCGTACAGCGATGAGAAGCTTGCAAGAGACTTCAATTATCCAGAGATGCAAACGTTTCTACTCGGCTAGCTCAAGCGCGCTTGAGAGGGTCTGTCCCGATGTAAGCTTCACAGGATATTCTGGCGTCGACACATCAATTATGAGATGAATCTCCTGGCGACGACATGAGATCAATATAACAATCCGCGATTGTAGATACAATTTTGCAGCGGCCATATCCGCCAAAGTCCTACGTACACCAATTACAAGAACACAAACCCGCCGCACCACACGCCCAAAACTTGACAAGGAGACATAGCATCTCGATCATGAGAGTATCACCACCCGACCGCTCAAATAATCCCCGCATAATCCCCCACCCTCCACCTAACCGCCCACTCCTTGACCGCCTCAAAATCCCTACAAACCCTCTCCGTCCCCCACCCCTTCGTCGCAACGCCCAACAGTCCATCTTCATCAACCTCCTCCTTTGTATCTTCCAGATTGGTATCAGCAGCGCAAATAAGGGCCTGGCGCAGGTACTCGAAGCAATGCTGGATGTGGTCGGGATCGTCGTGCTCTTCGCCGGAGCTGAGAAGCGCTTCTATGAAGGGGTTCGGTGTGAATGTGGGGGTAGAGTGGTGCTCGTGACTGCTGGAGGTGGTTTCGATTTTGATGTGGGGCGGGCTTAGTGGTGAGCGTTGGGATTCGTGGTGTTGGTGTTTGGAGAGGAGGTAGGAGTTTTTGTAGTACATTTGTCGGAGACCGTGCTGGACGGAGTTAGCGGGGTGTTTTGCCGCGGTGGTAGGGAGAAAGGGAGCTTACTAGACAATGCAGCTCGTGGAAGACGGACATGGATTTGATCTCTTTCGCTAGCTTGGGATGTTGGACGAACGCTCGTCCTTTTGGTATCAGGCTTTTCCACATCTTCTCCGTCTCAGCGCTAGGTTCACCGGCGAAACTCTCGTTGAGCGACCAGACGACCTTTTCGATCCTGCGGTGTGGACTGCCATACGGCGCTGGTGATTGGTCAGTATTGCGACACATTCCGAGCCAACAGACCGGTCCGGTGGACAAGGAATCGATAGGAAACTGCGGAAAGCTTACTAAGGTATCCATCGATATCGTGTTCAATATTGAGCAGTCTGCTGAAGCCAAGGCCGATTGAAAGGCCGAGAAATGCGACAAAGATGTACCCACATGCGTGCACGAGGCACGAACGAAGCGACCGACGAGGACTTTTACCTAGCGAGAGCTCTTTGTCTGCATCGCATTCCTCTCGAAGTGTAGAACTTGGAGAGATGCATGCATCGCTTTCGCCATCGGTGGCGCCATGAAACAAACGGTGATACGACGAACTCTTCTTTGCAAAGGGATTGAGGTTCGGCATTACGGCAACTTGCCAATACTCTTGACATGCAGAGTGGAGCAGAATTGAATGCTTTGGAGAATTGAAGCGATATTTACATATCAGACGAATAGATTAATTCTATTCGTGATGTTGGGGAATGTATTCAGAGCCTAAACGGGTAAGCCCTGGGACACGGGAAGGATCAGCGTAGATTGGGCGACCGGTGGGGAAAGCAGTAAAGACAACTTGATTTGGTACATGATTAAGCGCTAGACCATTAATTCTCCGCGCTGGGCGCCATGACGCTGCCGTCACCAAGGGGTATCATACAATTTCTCGCCATTTGTAGGGACGTCTGAAACTCAACGCCACCGTACAAGCCATGTCCAAGGCCTAGACCACCAACGGCTGGATCGTCGTAGGTTGTAGGGATCGGGTTCGCAGAAGAGAGGCTAATTCAGCTTCTTGTTGCCGACGGTAACCTGTTTGCCCTGGCTGCGCTGGTACTTGAGGAAGCCGAAGACTGCGGCGGCGACCACGCCCAGCATAAGGACGTTGCCTATAGTGTTGTTAGTTTCCAAATCGATCGAGTGCGCGAGTCAAATGTCGTCAGCCAACTCACCGAGTACGAAGCTAACGATACCGCCAGCAAGGTCCACGAGACCACGGAAGAAGTTAACCACGAGGTCGATCATCTCCAACACGAAGTTGAGAGCGAACTGGACCGTCTTCTGGACTAGCGCGCCGGCAGTGGTGATGAAGGACCATACGAGCTCGACCATGGACGAGACGAGATCGCTGAGGGCGTTGACGATGGAAGACATGTTGGTTCGGTTGGGCTTGTGAGTAATGGCGGGCGAGTGGTGTGGTATCACAGGTCTGAGGTGGAGTAGTTGATGGCAATAGTGGGGTGGTGGAGTGTAAGAGAGAAGGCTGTATCTGCCAGATATGCAGTGTTTGGTCCTGTGCGACAGTGCGACAGTGCGACAAGGCGCGACTTCCGTTAAGACAGTTTGGTTGCTGCCAAAACACGGGGATGACGCGGGGCCTACGTTAACACAGGCAGCACTTCCTGTTTCACATAGCTGCTGCCGTGGATGTGTAGGCCTGCATCCTGCCCGCCTTCCATGGGCAGCCTGGTTGGCTAGTCGGGTGAATAGCCGTTGTTGTGGTGAGATGTGACGTCACGGGTGTAACGTGGGTGAACGCCTGTTTGTAGGCAACGACAGGGGAGCATGACGAATCAAAAAATGACAGAGAAGGAGCGACAGTGATTGGAGGAAGGAGAGAAACAACGAGTCGAAGAAATGATGAATGCTCGGTTAAGGCTGGAGAGGTTGGTACGTTGCGAGGAAGATCCATGTCTTGGCTAGTCGCGATGGTCTAGAACACGTGCCTGATAATCTCTCGAAGTAAGGCTACCTGGCCTTGAAGAAGAAGATTGTTGCGACAAGGCTGTTCGGATTTGATATCCGTGTTGTTGTTGGAGAGTTCGTCGGCGCTTTTGGGGAGGTGCAGCCCTGCTTGCGTCATGGCGGCTCGGCTCAAAGCGGAACCTTCGTCCCACCGTGACTTCCTTCGTATCACGGCATCGCGACACAATGTCAGGCACACTCGACAAGCTGCTAGCAAAAGGCAAGGCGAAGCTCTCAGAGTTCACTGGGCAGCCTCCCGGGGGCCATCACCAGCAAGGCCACCCGAACCAAGGCTATCCAGGCCAACAGGGCTATCCGGGCCAGCAGCCTCCCCCGGGCTACCAACAACCTGCTCCAGGCTATCAGCAGCCACCTCAGGGCTACCAGCAGCCACCCCAAGGCTATCCCGCGCCAAATCCAGGGCAGTACTCTGGCAGCCAGTATCCTCCGCAATTCCCACCCCAAAACCAGCAATGGGGGCAGCAGAATCAACAGCAGAACCAATGGGGCGCAACCCCTCAGCAGCAATGGGGCCCGCCGCCTCCGCAGCAGCAGCCCCTCGCACCGCCCGTTCCCCAGGGTAGCAAGCCCCAATCTCCAGCACCTGGCGGCCCCCCGCCTATTCCTCAGAACCGACCGAACTCTGCGCAGCCTCCGCCACCCCAGAACCTCCCTCCGCCACAGGGCCAGAGCGTGTACTGGAAGCCGTCATTCGACATCAAGACACCCGTGTCGCAGAACTTCCGGTACGAGATCGGCGACCATGGCTGGGGCAACAACGAGAAGCAGATGTACACGGATAAACCCGAGAACTCGTTTCATCACGACAACCGCCTGATCGTGCGCGCACTAGTACAGAACGGCAGCTACACCTCTGCGCGTCTGACCTCACACCAGACGCTGTCGCGGCCGCGCGGATACTTGACAGCGACCTGTCTACCTCCGTCTGCACCAGGGATATGGCCTGCATACTGGATGCTGCCCGCAGACCCGTTCAAATGGCCGACTGACGGCGAGGTCGACCTTGCTGAGAGCTGGAACGGCGAGACGGAGAACCACTCGTGCCTACATTGGGGCTCCTACACCGGCGAAGATGCACAGAAGCATCGCGTTGTCAAGACGTCTCTTCCAGACCTGGCACGGCAACCGCATACCTATGGCTTCGCTTGGATCGAAGAAGAGGGCATACCTGGGTGGAGAGGGCGCATGATCTGGTACATCGACAACTACCCAGTCATGAAGGGTTGTATTCCAGAGGGCACACGCCGCATGGAAGACTTCAGGATTCTCATCAACATCGCCATGGGCGGCACCGTAAACCAGGGAAAGCTGCCTGCTGAAGGGTATTACGACTTCGTCATTAGCGATCTCAAGATGTGCGAGGAACCCCATGGCGGATGGCAACAATTCGAACATGCGTGGAACAGCACGCCTGAAGGCAAGGCAATGTAGCAAGGCTTGGTAGCAGCTACCTAGTATATCACGTTTGGGTCTCTACCCAATATCACTCCGTTAACTGTGCCCTTTCTATCCTTTCACCTTCCCGAGTTTGTCCGCCTGTGCACAAGTCAGGATCATAGATCAGGTCGTCGAGGAAGGGCTAAGTCGAGCCTAACAAGTGTTCTAGAGAGAGAAGGAAGCGCTCTGGCAGTTTGTCAAGCATTGACAAACTACTCCTTCCACGAGTATAACTGCAGGCCGGGTTCAGCACAGTAACCAGCAGCCCTACCACCTGATTTTCAACTCGATAGCCACAACACGAAGCAGCTCCACTACAGTATTCAGCAAACATGACGACCGACAAGGACATGGCTTCAATGACTACTTCTCGCCGAAGCAACAGCTTCATGGACTTGCCTGGCGGTGAGCAACATTTACCTTATTGCTCTATGAATTCGCGCTAATTTGACTCAAGAGCTACGGAACAATGTCTACTCATTTTGCAAGAACGAAGGCATCGTGGATATGAAACGTCCCCAAGACAGCCACCCTGGCCTACGGATCGATCGCACCCGTCATCAATTCTTAGGCCTTACTCAGGTCTCGAGGACGCTTCGAAGCGAGTTTGGGGCTTTGTACCGCGAACAACTTCAACTCCGGGTGGACGCACGACACATCTACGAATACCTCGCAATGGTCATCCAGGCATACGGCCGAGTAGAGGGAGGCGTCGAGGCCTGTATATGCCCAATATTTGCCAACATCATGCTTGATCTTGGCCCCGGAGTCAATGATCGAAACGAATACTATCTGGATATCCTCCCGCTGCTGCGGATACGCTCAGAGAGACCATCCTTCATATGCGAGTTCGATTTCTCCACAGAGGTTGACATCACTCACGTCCCAACCGACCCTGGTCAACCCTGCAGCCAGTTTATATCAGAGGTGTACGGCTCGTTGCTTGTACAGGATCTAAACAATATTCTCAGTGGGCCAAAGACATTAGCAACGGTCCGACCCGAAAACAATAATGTAGATGCCGCAATCCTTTATCTCAAAACTCTGGGTGTGCGAGACGCCAGATTCAATGGGGGCCCTTATCCAGTAGTCTCGACGCCATTTCTCGACCTCTGGCTTACGGCAGATCCTCCGTGGGGCTCCAAGCGCGAGCCTATCATTCACTTGGCGGGCCTCGAAACGATGGATTTTCTCAAGAATGCTGGCTTGGCTGATGTCCGTATACTGGACGTCCGGACGAATTGCTGCAAGCCGGAGGATTGGTATGAATGGCTGCATCCTGGGGTGCCCAGCTGAGGCACCCAGCGCTAGATCCGTGCTAGCCGAATAGACACTAGCGTCTCTTTACTCCTTCTTGTTGACTATTTGTGTTTGCGTTATCTCTCTGCAACCTTACCCCCTACCCAGATAAACTGTGAACCAAACGCAGTAATTTTCTTTCGCATTTGCCGTCGAGACCAATTTTGTTCGCTCATTTGAACGCCATCACAATGTCCACGTCAACGTTTCTATCTCTGCCTGGCGAGATTCGCAACCGCATCTACGAATACTGCGTCGAACCAAAACCTCGGCAACTTCCTCGCATGCCTAAGCGTCCGAGGAAGCATTACAGAAATACTCGCTACGGACTATATGGCAGCCTCCGCAACGTGTGCAAGCAAACGCGTGCAGAATTTGGGCCAATGTACATGGCCGAAACTGTCCATGTTGTCCATCAAGTCACGGCAAATAGATTTCTCTACTCGTTGTATCCCGAATTGAGGCAGCAAAATGAACTTGCGAGCGAGCAACTTCCGTCAGGCTGCCAGACTGACAAGCATCATGCGTCAACTAGCGTCTCTGGCCTACAAGGCAACATCCAAATCATCACGTACTTTGGCCACGAATACGACGCGACACCACTCATACATCTTTGCGTAAAGAATCCCGCTTTCAAAGTCAGCTTCACAGACGCCAGCGCGTGCCTCCGTCTCGGCTGCCTCGTCAACGACTTCTTCGCTACTATCTCGTCCGGCGCTTTTCGTCCGCACATGAAGCGTATCCAAAGGATTGCGATCACGTGCAGCACTCGGCCTGAAATCACCCTCATTCTCCCATGCTCGGTGGGAGATGATCTTATGGCACATTTTGGTGACCCACGGCAGGCATTGAATGAGATGGGTGCACCGCCTATGGACGCGTTTGCTGTCGTTTTCAAGGACGGCACTGGTAGGCTGTACGAGCACTCCACACCGCGGGCTTGATTCAAACCTTATGCGACTAGCGCATTCGTGTTGACATCCAACAATATTTGGGTCGCATATAGGTAGACATTCTGGGTCGTGTTTCTTGCGAGGGTCCATAATTTCGAAGGAACCAATTTCGTAGAAGAACGTACCACTTCCCAAACAGTCAAGCGCGTTTGCTCGTTGATTACGTATCTCACGTGAAGGTGAAGCCCCGCACCCGCGGACCCCACAGTACATGCAGGTACCCGATAACACGCGCTACCTTATTGCTTGGCAGCCGTACCATGGTTCACCTGGTCAGGCGCTTCCTTCTATTCTCACTTCACCACAGACTCTTCTCACACACAACACAAGCTGGTAGATGGATCACCTACACATGTACGTTACCCTCACACTCAGCCATCCGGGACTAACTTTAGCAGCAGCGACTCAGAAATCGACGAGGAGTATCCGCTCATGGCCTCCGTAGAAGCGCAGATGCGGGATGTTACCATGAGCGCATCAAACAGCCGCTTTCTGAACCTTCCAGGTGGTGTGTACGTCCTCCCAACCACCCAGAACCTAGCTAAGTCAGTACCTACAGAACTACGCAATAAGATATACAGCTTCTGCATCGATGCAGACCCCGTCCCACTGCGTCTCCGTCACGATGACCCGATCAAACCGGTAGGAGGATGGCGCTGCTTTACACAGACGTGTCGGCAAATCCGAAAGGAGTTCCATATCATCTACATGACTGAAACTGCGTTCCGCCTAGAATCCACTTACCACTACGCCCGATACATCCGCGATTTCTATCCGCCTAGCGATGAGGCCACGATGCTGCGCTACCGTGGACACATCATCAGCGTAGTTGGACATGGCCGCGACGAGGATATGGATGTAGACGAGTTCTATGATGCAGACATCGCGCGCGTAGTCTCGCTTGTCGCGCGCTCACCAAAGCTCCGCTTTACCTTCGAACTCCAGAAGGATCTGAAGAAACACAACAACGGAGTTTGTATCGCACAGGTGAACAGTATGCTCGCGTTATTCGCTGATCAATCCCACTCAAAGTGGCGCGAGATGGCCAATTCGATCAAGGAAATGAGGCTCCGGGTTCGATTTCACAGCTCTGCACTCCGAATCACCATGGATCAACACATGGCTAGGAAGTGGAAGCCTACGGCTTACGAGATGTGGAATGAAGCAGCTCAGCCTACGCGTGGCATACGTGAATTTAGGCTCGCATACCCTGACCCGAACCCCCAGGAGCGTTCATACGGGTATCGGCACAGTTTTTGGTTCGACGATGATAAGGATAAGACTAAAAGTTGGTTTTGGCGATTGTGAGTAGTATGCAGAGGGCAAAGGGGGATGATGGTACTCATATGCTAGCTTTGGTTGACAGCTGAGACATGCGCCGAGGCAGCCTGGCGTCGTCTTTGGAACCTATGACAAGGTGTCCTGGATTATCACCCAGTGTTTCATCTTTCACAATGCAAGGGGCTATACTACGACGTCCTGTGTGGTCTCAGGTCGGGTGCGTCGACATGGAAGTAGACGCACTCAGTGCCACGACCTTTCGAAATAGATAGCACTTTACAATATACCTCTACACTCCCGATCTCATGTCCATCTTGACAAATACTTCGTCGGCCGGAGTGGCCAAACATTCTTACAATGCCCCTCTATCGAAGCATGAACATCCAGTCCCTTTCTCTTCATCCAACCCATACTTTCCGCAAACTTATCAACAAATCCCTCGTCGCGAACCATCACCTCGGGAACAATAACCTCGCTCGTAAGCCTCCCAGGTGCCTTCCCACTCTTAAACACGACCACAACCCTCACTATAGTCACGCCGTAGTCAAGACTCCCTCTTCCAGCATGAATCACGACTTCCGCGACATCGCCGCTTCCAATACAAGTCACCCAACGTGCGTCGTCAAAGCCCAATATAGAATCCAGCTGCACCTTCATCATCGTCGGCTGCTTTAGATAGCTATGACACGGCCTAAACGATATCGACGCTCTTCCAGTCGGATAACTACAATGCCGAATCCGCAGCAAAGGTAGTACATCCAGTCTAAGTCGCTCTACCAACTGATCCTCGATAACCAGATCAATGCGTCTAGGCACGTATTCTACTGGCCGAGAAGGCCCGTAAGCAAAGTCAACGTAGCGGAGCCAGGGTTTAATACTGATAGTGAGCTCTTGTTGGCGGAGGGCCAAGGGTCGGTATTCTTTGCGCATTTGCCGGCATACTTGGCTTGGTTTTATCATGCGGAACCAGGCGGATGTGCTGTGGCTCCAGGAACTGTAGAGGACGGGTGATTTGAAGAGCTCGATGGGGTGGTGCTGGGATAGTAGCACGTATTTGTAGATTTGGTTGCGGAGTTCTGGGGTGTGTTAGGTGGGGTACGCATATGTTGTTGTGGCGACATACCAGCGGGTAACAGTAGAAGCCTTGACGTGATGGGCTCTGGGTCGCTTGCTGGCGGAGTGGTTTTGGGTACATTCCGGCGCTTGTTCATCTTCCTGAAGATGTGTAGCAGTTGGCCGTGAGTACTCCTTGGCGACGAATGATCGGAGTCGATGGTATCTGGCATTGCGAGGCTCACGGGGTGATCTTTTGATGACATCTTTCATGATGACAGGCAGGAGATGCTACACAGCAACCTGGGCCAGAGCTATGACTCTTTGTAGTTCGTATAGCACACCGGCACAAGGCGCAGTTGTGGGGCTGGAGTAAGCGCTGTCCCCAATCGAGCGGACATGCAAGTGCACCAGGGCATGGTCAAGCGAATATCCGGCCAGAGACTGTCAGAGGCATCAGGATCATCTTTACACGACTCTGATCTCATAGGGTTCTTGTTTTTTTCGGCGGTGAATGTAAACCGTGAATGCAAACGCTTTTGTAGACTACCTAGGTAGGTGACGTCACAGCAAACGCGAGACCCTGAATGTTTACCGTCCGTATCTCGCATCCGTGTGCAAACAACAATAACAACAACAAAAGCTTCCAACAGTACTTGTGCAGCGTCCAGAACGTCACTATGGATCGCTACACGCCCGAGCTCTCGATGCTTCGCCTGAAACGACGCCGTAACGACGACGTCCTGTCCAGCAGTCGCCTTCCGCGAGCGAAGAAGGTCGCGTATACTCCAACAGGTATTTTCGACATTATGCGTCTCTCAGCAGGTTAGTACATATATGGCGAAATGTCGCAAAGCGGAAGACTGACGTCCATCCAGAGCTCCGCAATCAAATCTACGAGTACGCTGTCGCAGAGGTACCCTCTCAGCTACTCACACCAGTCCATGGACCTCGTGATCGCGGCGCCGCAGGCATCGCGTTGACACAAGTCTCCCGCCAAGTAACTTATCATGCGAGATGGATACGAGACACGTACTGATCTAGCATGTCCACGTGTTAGGTACGTTCCGAGTACCGACCAATGTGGCTTGAACGCGCCAAGTTCGTCATCGATTGGCACTCTGTCCACGCGTTCCTCGAGAGCTTCTACCCGAACGAAGAAGAGTATGGAAGCGGTCCCAAGAAGCTCATTATTCAGTACGAGACGGCTTTCGACTGCACGCTCGATCGACCAACAGAGATCATCCATCTAGTCCGACTGGGCTTGGCTTTCAAGGGCTTGGAGATACTCATTATCGAGGAGGATGAGTGCATATGTCTTGCCGGGAAATCTATCACCAAGCTAGTACAGTATGGTGGTCCTACACGTCCGAACTCCGTTCAGCAAGACACTGCTTTGGTCAAGGAAGCAAAGCTCAAGTGGCGAGTAGCTGTGCAGGAGTACGATGTGACGAGTGTAGCTATCATTATCCCTGCCTTGTATGTGGCTGTGGAGGTCAGTGTTGGGGTCACTGAAAAGTTTCTCTCAACACTTGGTACTGATGATCTTAACGGGATATTGAACGAGACAATGGTCTGATAGGCCTTCCATCGGTATGATGCAGGCACCTCATACAAGAAACAAACTGAACAGGTCTGCAGGCTACATTAAGCCAAAACCTTGCAAATGCGCTGACCCAGCGCCAACGTAGGCTCCAGGCTGTTCAGTTTTTTCCTAGGTTGGCGTGGAGGTGAGGAATAGGGCCCCTCTGCACAGGAAGAAAGAATTAGAACGTAGCCAGAAAGTCGACATTGCCTTTCGGTTTTGTTGGTTCTGATCTGTAGATTAATGTAGCCTACGGTGCACATATTCAATTCTACTTTCCAAGGTTTCGTCTGAGGTGCGCAGGTGGGGCCGCGGGCAATGGACGTTTTGGGTTAGCGCGGGATTGGTTGCCTAATTGAACACGAAAGCTCCAGGCACGCTGGTAGGCTCGCCGACTCCTACACGCTGCACGTCGATGAAGGTCTCGAATACGTGATAGCAACACTTTCGCCAATCTATAGATCAGGTTATCGCGTCCTATACCAGCGCTGTTGGCGACGCGCTTGCAGCCATGCAACTCCACGATGCTTCCATCACCTTCGGGTCGACCAATGGACACCACTTCCGCTTCCTAGACCTCGCTGCAGGTATATTCTGAGCTCTTCTTCATCTGATGAGCTAGGTTCACTAACGTCAGACCTCAGAACTTCGGAACCGCATCTATGAGTACGCTGCCGAGGCACCGCCGCGCAACATCATGCTCAAGCCTGGCAACCCACCCACTATCGGTCTCACACAAGTCTGCCGACAAATTCGAGATGAGTTCAGGAAGATCTACATGCAAAACGTCTCCTTCACAGTCAGAGACAAAGACATTAAGAGGTTCGCGAACGCGTTCTTTGAGTCGGGTCATATGAACCAGCGAGTACTCGATGGGCAACGCCCCGCGCGCGTCATTTATCTCTATCCGACTGCCACGAATGTGGACATACTACCTCTCCTGGAAGTTAAGATATCGTTCCCGCAAACCGAGATCACCGTCATCCCCGATCCTGCAGATATCGAAGAGCGTTTGTATTCCCAGTATAACTGTGAGCTCATAACGCACATCCTCGAAAACACGTCGCCTGCATTAAGACACGACGTCCAAGCATCCAAGATCTCTGAAATCTGCTGTCATGAGGTTTGTAGATCCTACTTGTGGTACAAGCCAGGGCATGTACCCCACGGTGTGGATATGGCATTGGACCGGGAAGGGCAAGCTTTCACAGATCAGATGAGGCAGCTCTACAACATGACAGGTTTTGAAGATTGGTCTGGGGGTTATTATGACGTTGCATTTGAAAGCATTGATGTGCGGAATTCCAATAATTCGAGCCGGGCGGAAGATGTAGAGAAAGAATAGAGTCAGAGAGTGATCAGATTGGGCGTTGATATCCCGCGCTAGCTTGCGGTTATACCTTGTAGCATCATCCCTAAAGACCTTTAAAGACTCTAGGTAGGTACTTGTATGATAAACATTTAAAGCATACAGATCACGTAACTTGCGGCCCGCTTCGCAAATCATGTATTTGGGCGGATTTCACTCTTAATCACGTGGAGACACGTGAATGTGGATCGCATCAGGCGACTAGGTACCTAGTTCGCGCAACGCTAACAAGGGCCACTTCTTCGTTGTACCTTCACATCTAATCCACTGCATCATCCCTCTACCACGCTTCTCGCCATACACCCCCGGCACTACTTCAGTCCCCTCCCAAAATGGCCCACGACACTGTCAGCAGGCGCGACCGCGGAGATCACTTTCGTTTCCTGGATCTACCAGCAGGTAGGCGCGAACCTCTCCGGGCAATCTCTCAGGGCTGATATGTGTATTAGAGTTGCGCAATCGTATCTATGACTTTGCCGCTGCGACTGAAGCCAGTCAACCTCGCTGCGTGCTGCCATGTCTTGCGCTTGCGCAGACATGTCAACAGCTCCGAACCGAGTATCGATCTATTTGCCTGAAGCGAGACATCGTCATCGACTGGAAGGCGGTCACCGGTTACCTGCGCACTTTCTTTCCGAACGTCAATGGCAAGATCGACAACGTTGAGCTTGCACCAGCCAGCATGACCATAGTCACTCCTTGGCGCGGAGATGCAGAGAGAGAAGACCATTATGGGCTTGATATGCTATTGCTAGTCAAAATTGGCCTCTGTCGACCAGACTTCACCTGTCACCTCGTTCACGATACGGCCAGCCTGCAGCTTTACGACGAGGACGAAGAGAAACATCGAGAGGGATATAACTTCAGAGACTGGATCGATGAAGACGCAACACCCGTAGAGAAGATGATGTGTAATCGACACCCACGATGGATATCCGATATCGAGACCGGCGAGATCACCAGAATCATGGTTTCCAACATTGGGGTCAGCACTTCGCCCCAGGCAGCGTTCTACCTTAAATCTCGGCAATTGCTCGAGGACCTGGACGCTGAGGATGAGGAATTTGAAGGAGACACATTGGAAGAAGCTTATTTCAACAGAATTGACGTTGATCCATATTGGGGAGAGTTTCCGGAGTTTCCTGGCCTAAGGATTGAGGTATGAAAGATTTGGAGATGACAGCTTACTGAGGCGGTCTGGTATCGAATAGGACTGCAAGGATGGACATCATCATAGTTACTTCTACGCAGATGTTAGGGTCTTCTGTTCCATAACATCTCAAAGCGTACAAGCTTAGTCTTCCGCACTTTACTCTTGTCTAGTCAAATCACGCACACACCTCGGACCAAGTGGAGGCCAAACAGGGTGACGGGTGCGGTGTGATTTGTAGTCCTGCAAGAATCCTAGTTTCCCGAGCCCTTAAGCAATCTAGAGTGAGAGGTTCATTCTTTCTACCTGTCATTATCTGCAACACGTACTCAACAATCTTTCTCCTCGTTGGCGTGCACACGCCACGCATGAAGAGACTTTCGATGTGGTTTGCTCTCATCACGGACCACCACGCTGATGACTGCCCCCAAATTGCCGACTCTCCTTCTCTCAAACCCCACGATCCCATCTGCTAGATAAATTGCGAAGCCTACTAAGAGCCTTGGGTCAATTTTTACAACCTTGTCGCTAGTCAACATGAGAACGCGACGCTCACCCCCCGAGCCCTTCCGCTTCCTCGACCTGCCCGCAGGTGAGTTCACTAGACCGCAAAAGCTGTCGCAATAACACTAACATCATCACAGAACTCCGCAACTCAGTCTATGAGTTCTTGACTGCCGACTACGAGGGCCGCGTCCGGCGCTTCACTGCGAACTCGTCCTCCCTCGGCGCAGGCTCTCCTCCCGCTTCGATCCTCTCACTCGCACATGTGTGTCAAAAGCTGCGCAAAGAGTTCCTCCAGCACCTCTTCGCCAGTCTCGAAGTCGGTCTAGACTGGCTGCACGTCGAACACTTCTGCCACACGGTGTGCTGTACCTTCAGTAAAGGCGAGTTTCTGTCCATCCGCGCGCCGAAGTCAATCACCGTATACATCGATGAGACCATCTGCAACGAGCCTCCCATCTCGAAGCCAAGATCCACGGATGCTTCCTGGGCGGAACAAGAGGTCGACGCGTTTATGGCCTACGTATCGGAGGGCATTATCCCCGTGCCCCGAGTGCCCCGAGTGCTACATCCGTCGCTCAACCTCCTTCCGCTACTGAAATTACGATTCCTGCGTCAAGACTACGCTTGCCTGTTTGCGCCAGATCCGAAGGTCGACTGGAACGCTGTGAAAGAGAAGCATAACAGCGGGGACACTCTGACAGACGAGCGCGTCGCCACAGCCGTTGAGGACCTAGCGCAATTCATGGTCTTCAGTAGTGAGCCTTGGACGCAGTATATGAAGGGGAAGCTCGATCAGGTTTTACTTCACCCTTGGGCAGACTGGACAGATCTCCAAATCGAGCTGGTGTTCAAGGAGCAACCAAACGAATTCATAACCCTGGACAGCAAGACACGACGATGCTACCTGCCCGATCTGCGGAGGGCGGGCTTGCGAGAGTTCTACGCGACAACAGGCCTGACATTCAACATGAGCATGTCGTCTTCCTCCCCAAAGCCCGATTGGGAAGAAGATCATCGATTACGTTTGGGGCCGTAGAAGCCATTACGCTCCCATCCACCACCTCCGTTTCCTTTTCTTATTTTCCCACCGCCAACCCACCACCAAACGCAAACGTAACATCCCTCCTCAGAACCACCATCTCAAAACTCGTCTTGCAACTCCACGTCCCCGGTCCCCACGTCTTCTTCCTTACCACCTCATACCCTCTCTTACGCCAATACGCGCCATTGAGACACTCCGCGGCCAAAATCCAAAGGCTCAATACGCGTTGGCCCTTCAGTCCCTTTTGTTCGAGCTGGATGGTTTCTGTCACGATGAGATACTGCTGTAAGAAGTCGAGAAGCTGGATAGCTAGACCACGGTGGTGGTACTTCGCATCTCCGTCGACACATACGATTTTGACCTCCCAGCCTGTTTCCGTATCTGCGCATTCTTTTTCCCATCCGCCTTTCCAGGGTACGAGGGAAGCGCAGGCGACGACCTTTCTACTCTCTTTCTCTTTGGTGCTACCGTTCTCTTTCGCGCTCGCCGCGTCATCGAAGATCAATGCGATAACGCTGCCCGGCCCACTCAGCAGCAAATGGAGCCCTTCTTCATCGTCGAATCGAGAGCCCGTGTTATCCCATTTCACCGGATCAGGTGCATGCGAACGATGGAACGCGTCGTTCACAAGTTGCGTGATGGATTTCGATAAGCTTGGATTGGATCTCAGTTCCGAAGGCGTGAAAAGCGTTGGTGGCGAGAGGTTTGGCGTCATCATGCATGTAATTTTGTTCTCTTGATTGAGTTTGACCGATGGGGAGATTCAAGCTTTGGCTCGAAAAGCTTCTTCATTTTGAGCGAACGCCGTTGAGTCATCCTGTAGGGCGTGGATGTTGAAGGCGTCAGGCGTGGCCTCCGGGGGGAGATTCAGGCTGCCGCCTCGTCGGAATCGGAATAGCTGGGTTGTTAATTCCGAACAGAAAAGTAGTGCGGATGCACCTTCTTCTTTCGGCTAATGTGGGATGGGGTCCAGAATCTATGTCACAATTTGTCCTCCCGCTGTACATTTTTTTTTTACTTCTTGTTTTTTTCTGGTGTACGGAGAAATTTGACGTCGATGAGATCATCTCGCTACGTGCCCAAGGTTCACCGTGTCGGGTTAGTCGTCAACACATCCGCGAGGACCACGAAGCTGGGCAAAAGCGAGCGTCGCGATATAATCAAATCGTGTAGTGCATGACTATGACAGGAGTGTCCACGGAGCTTTGCAAAGGTAAAAAATAGATTGATGCATCATAATATGCTTCTATAGTAGCGCGAGGGAGCGAACATGGTATCATAAAATCGACATTACAGCGACGCTGCAAGTAAAAGGAAAGACAAGGATTTGCTTTTGCGCGGTCTACGCGACACTTCATATCGTGCGTACGTATGGGTCTGAACATTAGCATGCGCGGCACGCTTCAGGACCACGATTGCCAACTTGGCTTCTTTTGACTTGAACCGCGTGGGGGGTATGGCGACTCGCGCGCAGTCGGCGGTGGTGGCATGGGTGTGGGACTTCTCTCCCTCCTGGCTTCTTCTCTTATCTCCGTAGTGGGTAGGGGTGTTATGGGTAGCGTCTTCTCTGTGGTTGAGATAGCATGCAATGCAAGGGGAGCACCACTACGTGGTGACGTTGGTGACGCAGGTGACGTGGGTAGTGGAGGAAGGGCCTCTAGGTCGTGCCCTTCATAGAGGTGCGTCGATCGCATGCTGGATGCTCGCGAGTTGTGGCCTGTGGTGTAACGGCCGAGCTCTATGTCCTCGTAACCATGGTCGCAGATCATGTCGGCTGTCATAGTTGACACAGGGCGGTCGATGCCCGTGGGCGTTGGCATCGCCGAGCTTGTTGGCGACGTTGTGACTTGCACCTCTTTGTGGACATGCACACCTCCATGCGGGTCGACGGATGTGCCAAGGTGAGAATCGTAGTATCCCCTGGTGCTGTTGGCCCAGCTTCCGCCTGTGATGCTCGCTCCGAACTTTCTCCATGAGTTCTTCGACTTGGTGTGCGCACTGTCTTGGCGATCATCCGTACCAGCTGGTGTTCTGGTCTTGGAACGCTGACTGAGCTTTTCTTGAAAGAAGTGTTTGAAGAAGACCTTCATGGCAGGAGCGTTGGCGCACAAGCATCCGATGTACAGCTCGAGCATACAGGTAAGGAACAGATTCCATGTGTGCCATGTTACGTCGTAAGTGCCGTAGAAGGTGTACCAGCTGTAGTAGGCTCGCACAGCTCCCAGTGCGACGACTCCGTATCCCATGGCAAAGATACCGAACAGGGCCATTTTCTGTCGAATGGGTATCTGAAGGTTCCAGTAGAGGAATGTGGGAAGAACGGCAGTCAACGCATCTTGGGCGCATGATATAATGCTAGCAGCAAAGACGTCGGCACCTTCGTCGAAACAGTGGAACTCGTAACCTTGTAGTGTTTTGATGATGTTCACTTGATCCCAGAATGCTGAGATTGGTTGGCAGCCCAGGATAGGTGCCAAGGTCAAGGCGATGGTATAGGCGATGATGAAGCCGATAGCGGCCCACGTCACCCATACGAATGTCTTCGACACGGCTCGGGCCGAGAGACGTCGGTAGAAGAGAAGAATGGAGATCTTTATGAGGCCAGTTGCAACACAGAAGACACACTCGGTTGCGAGAACGTATTTCCGCGCGTTAACGATGATCTCCGGTTCGAAGAGGTAGTTCAGGTCCCAAATGTGTCGGTCGAACGCTTGGTTGGTTGCTGAGAAGCATTAGCTAGATAGCAATGGACTGATCTGGGATCTTACCTAGGGGATATATGACTGTCAAGGCGATAACTGGGGGCTGCAATCGTTAGCGTAGCCATGATGAGTGATCACGGATGACTCACAAGGGCAGCTAACATCAACCAGTCGTCCCAACCGGGACATCGTTGATGACAGACCCTAACCCATAGCCGTACAAAAGTCATAATGACGGTGATGGGTCCGAGTATGCACGAAATCCAAACGATGGCGTTTGGTCGGAGTGTCGGGTTGACATAGTTAGGTGTTGGCCAACTTAGTTTGACCTCAATGGGGGGATGTATGCCTCCAGGCATTGTATGGATGAGTCAAAAGGTTGTGTTGGGTGTGGAACGCTGCCAAAGTTTGAGACAACTTAACAACGGCTTTTCGAGTGAAGGGATGCCTACCCTTTGTGCATGGTGGCTTTTGAAGTACCAAACCTGTTAAATGGGAGAGGAGCATGGGGGCGTAAGACATCCGCCAGGGCTTGACAAAAGTGGGCCGACCACAAAAAACAATGCCAATGGTCAACCAATACAGCGTTTGGGAACGACGACCGTTGAGGTGCGCATAACGGCAGTCGAGAGCTTGCCCGGCTATGTACCCACCCGCATATACGAGCATCGACGCGGAGATGGGATGTACTCCGTAGACGATGAACCGCGTGGTCGTTGTTAGTCTAAGATACTGATCGGTGAGAAACAATGATACCTCTTGTG